CTTGTTTGAAATTACGGTAATAAAACATAATCTACTAAGCAGATAATTGCTCGAAAAAGTGAAAACAAGCGATCGACTTGTTTGAAATTACGGTAATATCAATGTGCATGGAAGTTATTTTCAAGTGCAGGTTCTTGGAATTGAGGTTAGGGTTAGGCAATTGGAATGGAGGGATGAGGGTTAGGGTTGAGTAATTGGAACTTTGGATAGTAGAGGATTAGGGTGGTTTTGTGCCTTAAGTGAAATGGAGAATAGTCGTGGGTTTGGATTACAATTCTTCTATAAGGAGGGGATGATTTTTTTTTTTCCTTTTTTTTTTGTCTATTTTTTATTCACATGGACCGCACTCCAAAGTGAGTGTAAGTCAATGAGGGTGTCAATTTCTTTCTGACAAAGAAGTTCAATTCTTTGAATTAATTTTTAATTGATGTTCATTTTCCAGCATCTCAAACTCGGCATTTGGTTTTACTTTTTTAGTTGTGTCAACACTTCAATTTGATTAAAAAAAATGTTAATCAGTACGCAAATTCAAACTAACGGTTTCAAAACAGCTGTTTTGACTTTATTTTCCCGTTAAACCATTTTTGTTCACCTTTAATTCCTACATCACCATCAAAGTAAGTAATTTACTTAGAGCATGTTTGGGAGGGTTTAAAATTCAATTAAAATTGAAAATATAGCCGTTATTGGGTCTCACTCGTCTAATAAAAGTCAACAATAACGGCTAATTTTTCAATTTTAATCCGATGTTAATCTCTACCAAACATCCCCTTATTTTTTAACTTTAACCACTAAAAAATCATTTCATTTGAAATTCACTTATCTTTTTATAAATAAAAATACTCACAAGTAAATTCTTATAAGCTTAGATAAACTATGCTCCCAAGTAATTTCGACCTCAAATACTCGCTTTTTATTTTTTTTAAATCCTCCCTCGTTCCTTTGTATCAAATGTCCTTAATATTTGTTCATTGTTAGAGTTACATCTTTACCTTTTTCTATTGCATTTCGTAGTAAAGTTACCATAGTTTAGATTATTTTTCTTTTCCTTTTCTAGTCGATTCATTTTTATTTATTTTTTTGTCAACTTGTTCTCTTTTCTTGTAAATTTTTTTTTTTTTTTTTGAAAAATGTTATTGAGTAATAGCCACATTTGAAAAAAATGAAATATTAATAATAAAAGTTTTTCAAATTACTTTCAAGGCAAACTATTTTAGCCCTTGTTTGGTATTGATAAAAATTCAAATTTTCATCTAAATTAAAGAAAATAATCAATTTTAATCATATATTTTATGGATCTTACAATTTTTTAATTACACATTTCATCATTTTTTTATCAAAATCTACTAAAATTTTGATTATAATTCATATCAAACAAGGGCTTAAAGTGAAAGACAGTTTCTTCATAAAATCTGAATTTTAATTTTTATCAAAGAGGATTTAATATAAAAATAAGAGAAAAACAATAAAGTTATATTTATTCTGAAGATATTAGGGTTGTGCTCTCTAGTATAGCCTTTCAGGCCCATTTTGGGGGGGAAATGTAGGGAAAAATTCATAAATAAGGTGTTTAAAATCATGTTTATAGTTTGAAAATTCAAAAATCAGGTTTTTCTTAAATTCTAATATAATAAACCCACTTCACATGCACCACCCCTACCGCTCCGGGAACTATTTCGGCGACCATTCCGACCACCACTTTTCTCCGGCGACCATTCTTCTCCGGCGACTATTCCGACAATCATTTTGTTCACAGATTTATAATTTAATTTGTCACATATTATTTTTCAGTCACAAATAATAATTTTTATACGTCACAGATTATTTTATGGTCACAATTCAAAAATTTTATAGATCACATTTAATTCGTTGGTCACAAATTTCAAAATTAGTTAGTCACAGATCAAAATTTATAGGTCACACGATCACAGATTTCCAAATTAGTTGGTCACGGATTTTTTACGGTCACATGTTATATAATTTTTAGGTCACAGATAAAAAAATGGTTAATTTTAATAGTCACTTATTTTCAAATTTGTTGGACACGGATTTATTTTCAGTCACATATTGTCTAATTTTTAGGTCTAAGTTAAATACTTGGTCACAGATAATCAAATACTTAGTC